TCTGAAGTATATACAGTCATCAGGCGACTTTCTTTGAGACTGACCCAAGAGATTTTCCAGACAAACAAATTTACCACATACTAATACATACTCAAACGTTCATGCATAATATCCCCCACTTTTCAATTACGGACAGTGGCGGACCCAGGATTTTCCGACTGGTGAGTCACAATCGATAATCAAATATGTAAAAAAAAATTTTTTACCAAACAACCAAATAATAGTACTAAAAAATACATCCAAATATTCAAACAGTACAAAATACAACCAAATGTTCATATAATACTACAAAAGACAACTAAATAGTAATGCAAACTTATTAAAATAGTTCTCGACGAGTTTTCATGTTTTGATATCGATTCATGATATCTTCCATGCTAACATTCAAAAACAAATCATTCTCCAAATAAGTAATTAAACAATCATTCAACATTTGATCTCCCATGCTATTTCGTAGTTTGTCTTTCACTTGCTTCATGCCAGAAAATACTCTTTCCACACTTGCCGTTGCGACAGGAAGAAGCAACACCAACTTCAAAAGTAAATAGACCCTATCATGAGTTTCAGACAATCCCGTTTCAACCAATTTGATTGAAAGATCACTAAGACCCTTCAAATTTTAAAACCTTTCATCTCCTCTAACAGAACAAATGTAACTATCAAGTGTATGACCAAAGACTATCAATTCTGAACTTGGAAATTCATTAGGATAGAATTTTGCAAGCTTAATCAATTTTTCCTTATCAAACTTAGAAAAACGATCCACAGGACTCAAACAAGACATACACACAAGTAGTTCTTTAGTTATTTCGGGAAATCGATTTTCAAGTTCTTGCAATTGAAGATCAATGACACCAAAAAAAACTTCAACTCGAAAATGATGTAGATTGGACACTTGTGGGCATTTACCTCTAAACAACCTCCTCCCGGGAACAACATATTTAGCCTCCATATCTGGAACTGCAATGTCATAGTCACCAATAAAAGAAATTACCTTTTCCATATGAGAATCCCATCCTTCATCTCTCATTTTTTGCAAATTAGTCTTGGTTACATTAACCATGGCCATTGCATTCACAATGTCTTGATCGTGCTTTTGTAAGGCCACATTCAAAGCATTTGTTATCGCAAATATACTAACCATCAAGTGTGCCACGAACACAAAATCAAAGGACATCAGAAGATTTGTAAGTGTTTGAGCTCTATTAGAATCTATTGTATCAGATACTTTTGCAATATCCTCAAGAGAACCAAGGATTACAGGGAATAAATCAAGTACATTCAAGATTGTCTTGAAGTGAGATCCCCAACGAGTATCACAAGGTCTACCTAATCCACGTTCTTGATTTAAACCTGAACCCGTTTCAACTTCACCTAGAGACAATGCATCCACCACTCTTTGAGCTTGATTTTCACGAAGAAACTCTTTCCTTTTTGGTGAACCCCCCACAAAATTCAAGAGAGGTGCAAGTACATCAACAAATAACCAAGCACAATCTGAATTCTTTTTAGCAAGTGCAACTTGAGTTAATTGAAGTTGGTGAGCAAAGCAGTGGACAAAATAAGCTTCTTTACACTCATTCTCTATAAGAGTCCTAAGGCCATTAATAGAACCTTGCATATTACTTGCCCCATCATAACCCTGACCCCGTACTTGAGAGAAAGACAAAGAATGCTCCATTAATAAGGATTCAATAGCAGTTTTGAGAGTCAAAGAAGCAGTGTTTACAACATGCACAATACCAAGTAAACGCTCACACACTTCTCCCTTTCTATTAACATATCTCAAACAAAGAGCCAATTGTTCCTTGTCAGAAACATCAGCGGACTCATCAGCAAGGATAGAAAATAAACCACCATCAATATCTTCAAGCATTGCTTTAGTGGTCTCTTTTGCACATGCATTTATGATATCTTTTTGGACTTTAGGAGAAGTAAGTTGACAATTACTAGGAGCATTTTTTAAAACAACTTTAGAATATTCAGGATTACCTTTGGAAATAAGGGATAAAAGTGAAAGAAAGTTACCTCTTCTTAAGGAACTTTCTTTTTCATCATGACCACGGAAAGGCAACCCTTGGAGTAAAAGCCATTGGATAGATTCAATTGAAGCTTCAAGTCGCGTCCTATATGCATTTGTACTCTCAGCGGTTTGTTTTGTTAAGGCTTGTGTGATGCTTGAATTTTGTTTCTTGAACAAATCCATAGCTAAAACAGCATTATTATGTGCACTCAAGTGTTTACCGACATGTTTTCTTATTAAATCCGATCGATTCCATGATTTGAAACCATCACTAACAAAAGCATCACCTCCAAAGGCATTTTCATCCTTGAATAGATAACAAGGGAAACAATAGGCAGCATCCTTTTCCACACTATACTCAAGCCAAGTCCAAGTATCAAACCACTTAGCACAAAAGCGACGATTTTTGCCAAAAATAGAAGTTTGAGGAAATGTAAAGTCTTTGGGCTGACAAGGCTTTCTTTGAATGTAAATTCTTCTCACTAAATCTCTATCATATTTATGAAATTGACTCATTTTTCTCCTCTTTCCTGGATCTTGTGGAAGATTAGCAAATTCATGTTCACTTAATCTTTCTCCAAAGATTGGGGCATTAGGAGAACATTGGCCTTGTTCATTTTGAGGGGAATTTTGAGTTGAATAATGAGATGGAGATGAAAGTTGCTCACTTTGTTGAGGTGGAGTTATAGTTTGTTCATTTTGTGTTGGATGTGGAAGAGAAGTTGGAGTAGGATTTTTTTTAGCAAAGAAGCTAGTAATGTTTTGCATTTCATTTGGAGTATGTTTTCTCTTCATTCTGAAATTTGAATAGATATTGAACTAAATCAAGCAATATTCCCCAGAAAAATTATTTGAATAAATATTCAACTAAATGGTCTAAATCAAGCAATTTCACATAATGACATAATCACATAAACATATTACACAAAACACAATTACACAAAACAGATTTCACATAAGTAATAACTAATAAGTTTAAGAGATTTCAATTACACAAAACACAATTACACAAAACACAATTACACAAAACAGATTTCACATAAGTAATAACTAATAAGTTCAAGAGATTTCAATTACACAAAACACAATTACACAAAACACAATTACACAAAACAGATTTCACAAAAAAAATCAATTGATGATTAGTTGATTACCTACCTTGCTTGGGAGTAAGTACCGGGCAACTTTCTTGGCTTTCTCAATGGCACAAACTTTGCTCCGATAGCCAAGGCAATAGGGGGACCAAAGATAAAACCTCTTGCTTCAATGCCTAGCAAAACAAAACTTCCAGTTGAGCAACACAAGACAAAAAAGTTAACTCTAAGGTTTGTGGATAGTTGTAATAACTGTTCTGAGAAAAGACCAATTTACAGTATATATGATAAAATATGATGTAAAAAGTGCAAACATGAATCAAGACTTTACTTAAAAACCTACATACTTAAGGTCACCATCCACAAACATATTACCAGTGATATTCTAGCTATCCTGAAGCTAAATTGGTTGGGGAATCTAGATAGTAAACATTAAACTCTCTTCCCCTTTATCTCTAAAATGAATAGCATGATTTATGGCAGCTTAAATTGGCTCGAATAAGAGAAATCTCGTACAAAAATGTGGATACCAGATAATAGCAAGATCTAACCAAGAAGGCTGATAAATTGATAATTTATGATTATTTGATAAGATGATACCCACTGAGTTCTGCAGTGACATCCTCAAAGCATAAAATACAAATATGAGCAAGTAGATTGTAGATAGAAACAGGCAACATGGTTTCTCTTGATCACAGGAGCAGGACTGCAGGAGTGTAATTAACAGATAAGCAAAGAAAGAGACAGAAACTGCTGTTTATGCACATGCGACAGCAATAACCACATCAGACAACCACATTTCATCATCCAGCTTAGCAAATCAGTTGTTACAACAATAACAAAGATCAATAGTCTTTAATAGCTCGATTATGAACGGGCCGATGCAATAAAAGACAGCATAATGAATAGGAAAGAATAAAAGCAGCTAAGCCACTGAAAGATATTCAAAATAGGAGTAAGTAGATCACTCGACTTTAAGCAATTCGCCAATTCAGCATTCAGCAATCAGCAGCACAGCCAACAGTAAAATAACAAATCAACCAAATTACCAAAGTTTAAACCAAAGTTTAATAAAATTAACAAATTAGACTGAATTAATTTGAAGATTAGAAATTAAAAATAAAAATTAGAAATCAACTTACTAGCACCGACGTTTCGAGTAGCGATTTCACGAAGAGGACGGAGTCCACGAGTCACGACCACCGAGTCACCGACGTCCGACTACCAGGCGATTAGGCGAAGAGAACGGTGGCTGCCTGGCGAAGCGAAGAGGCGAAGTCACGAAGAGAAGAATGGAGATGAGCGAAGAGGCGAAGTCACGCGAAGTCACGAACAGAAGAATGGAGATGAGGCGATTAACAATGGAGGCGATTAGGCGGAGAAGGCGAAGTCACGACTCACGATTCACGAAGAGAAGAATGGAGGCGATTAGGCGGAGAAGGAGAAGTCACAATTCACGAAGAGAAGAATGAAGAGCACGAAGAGGCTAGGGCTTGAAAGCCTTGAAGTCTCCTGTAACTGATTTTAATTTTTTTTTTTTTTTTTTTTTAAATAACTTAAAATTTTTTTTTGGGCCTGGTGAGTCACTTGACCCACCAGGTCTAAGCCCAAGTCCGCCACTGATTACGGTGTACTACTTATTTTAAATCATAAAAAAGCTGTAATGACTAATGAGAGTGTTATAGTCTGTAGAAAATATTGGTAACATGGTATTTTATTTTCTTATATAATTTCTACAAATTATTTGCAATAATTATGTATAATTGCTTTGATTGAATGATAAATTTGTTTCTAATTATCAAACAAACATTTCATTATTGCCTGTAGTTTTAGGTATCACTGCGCCAGAATGCTGATTGCAGATTTTAGTATTAGGCCGTGTCAAGACACTACCAAAAAATAGATTCATAATGAATATGATCCATAAAACATGCATCAAATGACAGAATAATGATTGCAGATTTTAGTATTAGGCCCTCTAGCAATCCCTTTGATAGCATGACCGTCTGGATACAGTTTCCTGAATTACCTGTGAAATATTATGACAAGGAAGCTTTGTTTGACATTGCTAAAATGGCTGGAAGACCATTACGGGTTGATTATGCTACTGATCGCTTAACTAGGGCACGATATGCTAGGGTTTTCTTAGATATTGATCTAACAATCCCTTTGATCACAAGTGTTTGGGTGGGAAATAGTTGGCAATCCATTGAATATGAAAACATTAAATGTCTCTGTTTTTTGTGTGGAAAAATTGGTCACACGAGAGAAAAATGTAACCAAAAGAAAGTTGTTGTTGATAATGGAAAAAGCATTGTGGAAAATTCTTCACTTTCTAAAGTGGATAAAGGTTTGTTAGATACTCCATCATCCTCCACTAACCACAATTTGGGGGTTTTGGTTCCCCATACAGATTCTCAATTTGGGTCGTGGACTATAGTCACGAACAAGAAAAAGCACAACCAGAATAACTTGCAAAAAAAAATATATAATAGTGGCCTTCTACCAAAGCCCAAACAAGGCCCAGCCCACACCTCTACCACTTCTAAACCCAATCTAATAGCCAAAAAACTAAAAAATCTTCTACTCTTCCAAAAGCAAATAAACTCATCTTCCTCTTCTAATGCTTTTGCTATATTGGACTCCACTGAAAATTTACCAGCCAATGAAACAATATCCCCTAATAAAATAATCAAAAGCAATGATAAGATCCTTCTTGAAAATTACAAACAAAAACCCCCAATTTCATCTTCCCCTATTCTCCCACACGCTTCATCTTCCCCTTCCATTACCTTCTCCTCAGACCTTTCTTGCCACCTGGCAAATAGCAACTCGCCTTAAACAATGGCGGAAGCCAAACCCTCTCATAATTTAAACTCACAGCAAAAACCAAACACATAAAATTTAACCTTGAAACCTCTTACCCATGGAAAATCAACACCCAACTCCACCTCATGACCTGTCAACTCCCCATAACCGACCTCTCCACGGACTTCCCATCACCCAAGCTCAACCACTATCCATGAGAATGTCATTCTCTCCTTACCCCAATCACCACCACCATCCCATAATTTTCCATTCAACAACTCATTGACACCGTCACAAATCAGGGAGATAGTCCGGATTCCGCCACCACGATCTCCTCTTCTATGGTCATCGATCGATTCCCAGCCAACTCCGGCGAAGATCGAGATGATGTACAACACTCTCCTTTAAATAACAGATCTTATGAACAAGCAATTCACTCAATCTCCGCCTCCTCCACCACCAACAACTCCACAACCAACCCTTCGACCATGGTATCAGCAACAAGTTGCATGGCCGAATTACCAGAACCATCCCCTTACCCCTCCACCTTTCAACCCCCAAATAATCACTCTCTCTTCGGAAAACAGCGAGCAAGACCTAGAAAACCCAAAACACCTTATGAAAATCTTCAGAATCGGAAAGGGAGTGGTGGGTTTACAAATAGAAGTCAACTTTTGGGAAACAACGAACACAAATAGGGAACTACACTCCATGGTGATTCCCTTGAAGATGCACGACACTGTTCTGATGGATCGAACAATGTCATGGAAGGAATGGGATAAATTGATCCCCTGTTCTGCAATGGTAAGCCAATTCCCCCTTTTCCTGATCTTGATATGAAGATTGTTTTGTGGAATGTCTGTGGAGCTACTAGGAATGAGTTTATACCTCATGCATGGGAGGTAATCGCAGCTCACAAGCTGAGCATTTTCATCATACTTGAAACTAAAAGTGATGGATGTCGTGCAACTCAAGTTTCTAAGTTACTTGGTTTTGATGCTTTCGAGTTTGTCAAGCCTAATGGCCTTCGTGGTGAAATTTGGCTAATGTATAAGAACAGTGTTGAACTCATCCAATATCAGGAGGGTATTACCAGAAACTTTTTTCATGCTTTATTCAAGTTCACTCCTGACAGTAAGGAAGTGTTGCTTACTGTAGTGCATGCACCTTCTTCCCGTTCTGAAAGGCATAAGTTGTGGAATGATTTAAAATCTTCCCTTCCGCCAAATGACACTCCATGGTTATTCTTGGGTGACTTGAATGAAGTAACAAGTCCATCCGAAAAATTTTGAGGCCTCAAATTCAGACAATCTCAGTGTTCGGATTTGAACAAGCTTGCTGATGCTACTTGTTTGGTTGACTTGGGGTTTTCTGGAAACCCTTTCACATGGCACAATGCTAGAGAGGGCCTTAATTTAATTCAGGAACTCTTGGACAGGGAAATGGGGAATCCGAGCTGGCTAAACACTTATACAAACACTCAGGTAACTCATCTTACTCGAACTCATTCTGATCATTGCCCCCATTTCAATTTCTTTATTTGATAAATGTAAAGGGGGTCCTTACCCTTTAGATGTAAAGCTGCTTGGTTAGAACATCCTGATTTTAAAAGCTTCTTTGTGCATAATTGGGATCTTCATAATTTTGACTTTGTTAAAGGAAGAGATGAATTTTTATTAAATATTAAGCCTTGGAATCATGACATATTTGGTAATATTTACTAATAAAAAAAAAAAGAGATTGGTTGCTAGAATTGATGATATCCAAATAGCCCTAGCTAAAAAGTATTCTGCTTTTCTTTTTAATCTGAAAAAGGAACTGCTTTTTGAACTCAAACATATTTACAAAATTGAAAGAATAATTTGGGCTCAAAAATTTGGTTTAGATTGGAGGAAAAATGCTGATTGCAACACTAGGTATTTTCATTTCATTGCTAATATTAAAAAAAACTACGGGGAAAGTTTTAACTCTTCAAAACAATGAAGGCATTTGGATTACTGATTTAGATGAGTTGAAATCTATGGCTAGGGATTATTATATAAATGTTTTCAAAAGTACTTCTGTTAATTTATCCATGCTTGCTTCTTATTCTTACCCTAAGGTTCTTCCTGCTTGCTCTTACCCTAGTTTTAGTCTGCCTCCTACTATAGATGAGATCAAGTCTCTTCTTTTTCAAATGGATCCCATCAAATCCCCAGGACCTAATGGAATTCAGCCTATCTTTTTTGCAAAAACACTGGTCCTCTCTTAGCACTTCAATAACTAGTTTTATTTCTGATTGCTTTGTTAAAAGGACTATTCCTTCCTCTATTAATGATTCTTACATTTCTCTCATTCTCAAATTTGACAGTCCTTTAACTATGAAGGATTTTAGACCTATTGGTCTATGCAATTCTATTTACAAATTAATTGCTAAGTGTATCTCTAATAGGTTAAAACCTATAATGGATTATCTCATTAGTCCCTTTCAATCTAGTTTTATTCCTAATAGCTCTATAGAGGAAAATGTTATCATTATTAAAGAAGTTGCTCATCATTTTAATAAAGCTTCTAAAAAAGCCAACTTGATGTCTTTGAAGATCGATTTATCAAAAGCTTTTGATAGTTTGGAATGGAGCTTTATTAAAGACACTCTTCTTAGTACTAATATTCCTTCCAATATTATTAACCTCATCCTTAGTTGTATTTGCGCTCCTATATCTCTCCTTTGGAATGGTGAGATAACTAATTCTTTTACCCCTTCTAGAGGTATCCGACAAGGAGATCCCCTCTCTCCTTACATTTTCGTTCTTTGTTTGGAGCGATTATCTAATATGATTCAAGATAAGGTTAATATAGGATCTTGGAAACCTATGAAGATTGCCAAAGATATTAATATTTCTCATCTTCTATATGCCGATGATGTTTTTCTCTTTGGCAAAGCTACTTCTTCTAATATCCAAGTTATGATGGATGTTTTAGATCACTTTAAGGAAATTTCAGGTCCTTCTATTAACATCCTTAAATCTTCTGTCTTCTTTCCTAGGAAAATGGATTATAATGTTCGGAAATCTATTTATGAAATTTGCAATATTACCATTACCACTAACTTTGGGAAGTATCTTGGTATTATTATCTCTCATAAACGTTTGAGCAATCTTGATTATTTTCCTTTGTTAGATAAAACTTGTTCTAAGATTAGAGGTTGGTAGGCTAAGCTTTGAAATATGGCCGGAAGATGTACTCTTATTAAATCTGTCTTAAATTCTTACCCGGTCTATGCCATGCAAATTAACATTTTACCTAATAATGTCATAAATGATCTTCAGAAAAGTGTAAGCAATTTCTTTGGAATAGAGTCAATCATTCCAAATATATTCCCAGGACTAATTGGAATGTTGTTTGTTACCCTATGGCTAAAGGTGGTCTAGGAATTAGGGATTTGAAAAGATGGAACTTGTCTTTTATGGCCAAGCTAGGTTGGAAAATTTTAACTTATCCTAACAAGCTTTGGGTAAAAATCATGAAGAACAAGTACTTAAAATACTCAAACTTCTTAGACTAAAATGTTAAACAGACTGATTCTATCATTTGGAAGGATACCTTAAGTGGTAGAGATACTCTAAGGAAAGGTATTACAATAATATAAGGGATGGAAAGAATACTTCCCTTTGGTACCATCATTAGATTAGTGAATCCCCCTTATATCTTATTCCAAATATAAAAGTTTCAGACTGGCATTGGAGGGTTTTGGATATAATTCGAAATAATGATTGGTATTTAGATAGTGTTATACATATCATCCCTCCTTCTATATGTTCTTTAGTCTTAGCTTTACCCCTCCCCAAGCTTGTTCAGATTTCTGATCGTTTAAAATGGACCCTAGACAAAAGTGGCAAGTTCACTATAGAATTAGCTTACAATTCCACCATTCCTCACTTCATTATGTACACTTCCTTCCTCTCTAGTTTCTGTTGGGAAAATGTGGAAAATAAAAGTTCCATACAAGTATAAAATACTTCTATGGAATTTGATCAGAGATATCTTGCCTTGTGGTGTTGTGCTTAAAAGAAAAATGAATTTTTTTTGACCCTATACGCATGAGATGTGAGGCCCCTGTAGAAGACAATTCATATTTTTAGAGATTGCCCTAACTCTTGTGCCTTTTGGTCTTTGATTTTCAGCCATCTTAACATTGATCTTCAAAAGTTTTATAACACTGATCTCTCTGATTGGTTGCATTTTAACCTGACTAATACTTCCACTGGAAAACTTTATTTGCTGTGGCTATATGGCATATTTGAAATACCAGAAATGTTGCAATTTTTGAACAAAAAATGGTCTTTCTTCAATCTACCTATAATAAGTTCTTTGTGGATTACAATTATACCTTGGCTTTAACTCAGGGAAGGATGGATAGACCTTCATCATCTTCAGTCAACTCAGTCCCAAGGACCTGGGCTCCACCTCAGAAAGGCTTTTACAAGCTTAACACCGATGGTTCCTGGATGGACATTGATAATGCAGGTGGAGGAGGTGTCATCAGGTGTGACAAGGGATGTGGGTTGTTGGCTTTGCAATAAGGTTCAATGCCATGTCTGCAGCAACTGCTGAGCTTCTTGCCATTAGGGAGGGCCTGATAACTGCTTGGAGCAAAGAAATCAAACAGCTGGAGTTAGAAACAAATGCTGAGGCTCTTTCTAAGATGCTCAAAGACCCTAAATCATGTGAAGATCATGACCTTGGAAATGTTATCAGGGATGTTGCCTCCTTGCTGGAAAGGAACTGGACAGTTTCGATCTTCCATGCTAACAGGTCTTGTAATTTTGTTGCTGACATATTAGCAACCATTGGCAGGACCAAGATCAAGGTTGGTGAGAGGGTTCCTTATAACTACCCTCCAGCTGCAACCTTCGAAGCTTATGCATCCGAGATCCCTAATATGCTAGCAGCCTAGCTTGGTGTTTAGTTCTCTTCCAGCAGCACCTTTTGATCAGCTTGTGTTGTTTGCTATTAGTTATGCTTGCTTAGTATATATTACTAGTGCTTTTACTTTTTATTTTCAAACTCTAAACTATGCCTATAAGGTAATTTTAGGTAATTCTGGGTTGCTACACATGTGCTCGAATTATCTTTCTTTTGCTAGATGGCTTCATGCCATCCTTATCTAATATAGTTTCCCTTTTGTGTTAAAAAAAAATTGATTCATAGTTAAATTTATATTAAACAAAATAAGAATTACAAACCTACGTAATATGAAGCCAGCCATCCCCAACCCTCTTTCTACTGCCCTGCAAGCCTGCCTGCCTGCATCACAACCACCTGATCCACCGGCCACCACATTCTCTCACCGCATTCATTTTCTCTCTTCCCCATCCCAAACCTAACAATGTACCTCAAATGTCTCTTCATTCTCAGTATGATATGGGGTTTCAGACAACCAGCTTCACTTAAAAAAAATTAAAAAAAAAAAAAAAAAAAAAAAAAAAAGAGAGAGAGAGAGAGAGAATTGAATGATGATTCCTTTGTATTAAAGAACTATTCTCTCAATCACAAATCTCAAGATTCAGCATGGGACTTGAATTGCTTCATAAACATAGATTCCTAAACTAACATGAATCAACTAACAAAACTTGTAGCCGAAACAAATGCCAAAAACCTAAAAGATGTTATTCACTAGAAATCATTTTAATGAACATAATTTTTATACTTCTTTCTTGGCATTTCAGGTTCAGAATATTTTCCAAATAAAGTGAGATTCATAGTCATGTACAAGTGCTGAAGATGTGCCTGGTAGCTTAAAGATAATAATTGCTACAAAAAATTTCAATCTTAACCTGGTAGCTTAATTAAAGATACACTGATAGTTGAGAACATTTGTTTGAGCATGTTCGATTTACATAGTAAACTTGCACTCTCCACAAAGCACTAAACTGACACAGGCAAACATTTGAATACCTGTAGAAGCTCATATTCTACTCAAGTTGCTCTTGATTTTTGAAAATGTGCCTGTTTCAGAAAAATATGTACTCTGAGTTCCACTACCAAGTTGATGTGCATGAGCCTGTGGATTTGAAAGTTCAATGCCCTGCAAGAAAAACGTACAACAGAAATTCAACATCAGCGGCAAAATTTTAATCAAATCGCACAAGGGGCGTTTTCCATGAGAATTTCCCAATGGTAGATAAAACGTCACAACAAAAATAATTTTTACACTGTAGGTAAAACTGAAGCTGTAAAACAATCTCTGCATAGACTACAGTAAGGGAAAGACAAAGTTCAGTATTATGGGTCTACAATACATGAACGTTCTATGTTGCCCAGAGAAGCAGACACTGAAGTGGAAGAAAATACCAGCTGCACACAATTTATTGCCTGAATAAGTGCCAAAACCTACAAAACAAATAGACTAACCTCTTCCTTTCCACATACAAAGTATAACTCAAGGGTGCTATGGATTTTTGTGGAGTGTCATAGTATGGGAGCATTGCATTAGCAATTTCCAGTTACAGTGCTACTAAAATCTATAAATAGCACCCAAAGAAAAGCAGATGGGAGGTGATCTGGAATTATCCCTATCACATCATCCAACAATTCGTTTTAACCATGTAAGCACATAGGAACACCCCTCTTGCATTAGAAAACATAGGAATACCCCTCTTAAAAAGTAAAAGATTTTAGTATGTGTTGACACGAGACAAGACCAGTGTCTATAATCAATTTCATCCTAGGGTGTGCCCAATGCCAGTCATGTTAATTTACAATAATCACAAGGGAGATTCCAAAAACAATTCACCCCCCCTCCTCTCTTGCGAGACAGATATATTATAACAAATCTAGAATGGCAGTTGGACAACAAGAGCTATTGTTCATATAAAAGGGGCTATTAGGCCTATTACAGGCAACGCGTACATATCCCCAATATAAGTACCAATAAAGTCTTAAGTTGAGCCCCATTCGCTTGACTAAAGAGAAACACCTATCACTTCAAGCAAAACCAAATAAAGATAGCACAGCAACCAATACGAGATGTGAAGCACAAAAACTATTAGATAAGTCTTTATGCTAAACTAACTCCAACCAGGAAAAGCATAGTGATTCCCCTATAATGGAAAAATTCTAAAGTCATATAATTGTCACTGTTCCTAACGTTCCCAGCATCATCTTGCAAACTTGAAATTATGGAGACCTAGATTAGGATAAAACAACACAAAACCATAATCCGCATTTTGATTAGCCTCCAAATTGGAGGACATCCAACAGTAAAGATGTACGTGTAGTTGAGGAGTAGAAAAATAATTATAATAATAAAAAGGCCGCTCATGCCATATATAAAATAGTACTATAGTGCCAGAGGACTCATGCAAAGGCTATCTACAAAGAATCAGAAGCCTAAAAGAAAGACTAAGCAAATTATCAAATATTCAGAGTATCTAGAAACAACCTACAAAATGGTCCATTATCAAAGAAAATATTGAATGTCAGATGAAAGATGCTATTAGCAAACTTCGACTATTGAAACAGTAGAGTGACTGGGCAAGACTAGGAAATTAAGGAATCTAAGATGTTGCAGTGCAGAATAACCCAAACTCTAGTGTTCCTCGCTTATTTAAGATGTTACAGTGCAGAAAATAACCCAAACATTACAGATGTACTAGATATAAGGGCAAGTGCACAATATTTTATGGCTAAAGGAATAGAAACAATGTGCAATCACCAGAATACTTGCAACTATTGAGCAACCAAGTTCACAAAAACCGAATCATTGGCATTACTTTCTATTCCCTTCATCCCATAGTGTCCCGTGCTATTTGACTTTTGAACAAATATTAAGGAGTCTATATAACTTCTAGGGAATAGAGTGCAGGGAATTTTACTTCGACCAAGATTTTAGTAAACAGGGGAAGATGGAATCAGGCTAAGGTCGACTAGAAAAACTCTAGCACACTAGAATAAGATTAAGTAGAATAAGAGAAAGGGAGTTGCATGAATAAACAATATACGTAATGTTGGGCTTCTAAGAAGTAGTACATTAAAAAGATAGAGGTTACGGAAATGCGCATGTTAAGATGGATGTGCGGGAATACTCTCAGAGATAGAATCAAAAATGAAGTTATTCGCAAAATAGAATCAAAAATGAAGTTATTCGCAAAAAAGTGGATGTTGCAGGCATTGCAGACAAAGTAAGGGAAAATTGTCTGCGTTGGTTTGGGCATGTAAGACGGAGACCCCAGGTGCACCGGTACAAAGAGTGAAATAGTGGGATCATGGAGAACTTAAACGAGGTAGAGGGAGACTGAAAATGACTTTGTTGGAAGGAGTTAGGAAGGATATGAAACATATGGATTTGCATGAAAATAAGGTATTTGATCGTAAAGGATGGAGGAGGAAGATTTTTGTGGATAACTATACGGAAAAAAATTACTTTTGGTTTATGTAGCCGACCCCACTTATGGGATTAAAGCTTTGACTGATTCATTAAATAATATCCAGTGAGACAAACTAAAACAAGGACAATAATTGTGAGACAAAGGGAATTCTTGTAGTTATAAATCAGATGAAAGAGAAACTCAAGCACGCGTTAAACGCGGGAAAAACATACACACACACACCAAGGACAATAATTGTGGAGAAAGAGATTATTTTAAGTTATAAATCAAACAAAAGGTCAAATAAGTTACAGACCTGCACAGGGGTAAATGCCAAACTTGAAGTTAACCCTGAGGTAGCACCACTGCTTCCGTAGCGCTTTTCCTTGAATCTGGTTTCAAAAAAGCAACAATGAGATGTCAGAACAGGATATGTCAACCACCCCAACACAATCTCAAAAACCAACCTCCAAGCAAAAATTAACTAGAAGAAAACTTACTTCTTAGCAACTTTTGCTGCAAGCTTGCTTGGACCAGCAGACATACGTAGCTTCCCACTTCCAGCTTGACCAAGCATACCATATCCTTCTCCCAGACCATCACCTTAGCAAAAACAAATTGAATTGTAAGATATGCTATGATTCTAAGAAAGGAAACTACTTGACTGACTAAAAAGATAAATTAATAATAATAACAAACTCACATCAGAATATTAAATTTCAAACTTGATTTGCAACAGAATAAAGTGACAAAGGTAACTTTAGAGATTCTTATCTAATATGAATATGTACCCTCATTAGCTTGCCTAGATTATCAGCATTCTATTCAAATTATATACCTGGATTTCCTGAATTCTACACAAGAATGCAAATCAAAAAGATTTAGGCTTTGTTACACTAAAGTGAAGAATTTTACCTAGAGAACTCTCTTCAGGCACACCGAACTGCATCCTGTTAGCCAATTTCCTCATATCTGTGACAGCATATCTGCAAAACAGGACAAAAACACACTAAGAAAATAAAGTATGGAAAGAAAACACCCTGATACTTTAAGCCAATGACAGGTCTACCTTTCCTTCATCTTCCTTAGCCTTCGCCCACCTCTTTTCTTTTTAGGTTCTGAATCAGGCACAGGAAGAGGTTTTGGGATCTTAGGCGGTGGAGGCTCTTGCCACTTCTCAATCTTTTTACGGATATCTTCTCGTAATGTCCTACCAGTCTTTCCAGTTGAATCTCCTCTCGTTGAATCTACTCGAGCTGCAAGGGTTGACTTTGCAGCCAAAAGACGACATGCACGCATTCTCAAAGGAGGGGGCGTACTCTGAAATACCTCTGTCTGCTCAATATAGCCAACACGAAACTGAGATGTCGCAGTCGAAAATCCCGCCAAATTCTTCCTTTTGGCCCCAAGAAGCTGAACATTACAAGCTGGCATCTTAGCTAATGCAGCCAAACCTCCAGCAGTCCCCATAAGTTTTGCTGCAACAGCACTTCCAACAATAGCTGAAAGATTAGGTGCAATATATAACATCCTACTTTCAACAAAATCAAGGACTTTTTTCCTTGCTGAATCAAGCTCAATTGCACGATCACATGCCTCAACAGTCTTCTGTAAAACATCCTCTGGAAGTGGCTTACCACTGGTGGTTGAAGCAGTGACTGAAACAACCATAATGATGGCAGAAGGAAGCAGCCCTTCCAGATCAACTAGGGTCAAATCCACTTCATTGCCAATCTTCTTCACAACACGAGCATAGTCAACAGGGTGATGTACGAGAGATTCAAGCTCAGGAAACTTTAGAC